TTCCCACCTATTCAGTGCTGGCTATCTCAACCCAAAGTTGGTTCCTTCGTTCATTCATTCAAGTCCATAACTACTTAATTTTTATAATTTGTGTTAGGTGTTTCAGTTATTAAAAAAAATGGAGATGGTGAAACATATGGGACTGAATTCTCAATTATTAAAAAAAAAAAAACGGAGCATCATATGTAAAATTTAAAAGTCAATAGTAGATCTGTAATTTAATAACATTTTCAAAACTAAAATATCATTTGAAGCTCATCAGTATCTTAAAGAATACAGTCAAATATTCGAAACTGTCCCAGAAACACCCAAAATCAAATATTTATTACACATCAATCCTAGAAATTTCCTATATTAATTTTCTTGCTTTTAGGTAGCTAGAATTTCTTTTATGACGTAAATTGATATAAACTGAAAGTTTTGAAAAACAAGAAAAGGTAAAAATAACTGAAAGTTTTGAAACGCTTCCATAGAATTTTGCTTGTTCATTACGATTCCATCTCTCTCATTCATGCATGATCTTTAATTTGTCTTGTTCAATTGTCATGCTTTAGTCATGAGCTTCAAATTCAGGTATAACTGTTTGCCTCTAAAGTGCATCATCTTCTCCATAGAGTTATGGCTTTTTTGGAGAGCTCTGGCTAGCCACCTCTCTTCAATTCCCATTTTATCTTCATCAACATTTCCATGCTTTTATGCTTTTCTTTTTTACTTTAATTCTCTCTTTTCACTTTTGTTTCATCTATTCCTTTAATTTCTTCACCATTTATGATTTAAATATTTATCCAATTACTGAATTCTATGTTTGGACCACTGGATATTATATTATATAGAGGATGCGTATTGGAGTTTTATTTCTTAATCAGCCTTGATTTGAAAGCAATCCTCTCGAGTTAAGTACCGTAGGCTATAGTTCATATTTTTTATATTCTTCAAATTCATAGTACAATGTATAATATTAATTAATTTAACTCCTTCTTGTGGTTTCTTGATTCGTTTGATGAGTTCCAGTTCTTATGCATTTCAGGTATTTTCCAAAAACTGCAAGGCGATATTGCTATTTAATAGGTTGACCATTTTTTATCAGCATGATTCCCAAAAACTTTAATTAATAAATTTATTTTATTTTCATTATCTTATCCAAGTTAGTTCAATCTGTGTTATACACGTGGGTTAAAAAGTATTGAAGAATTAATTCTCTGTCTTTCGGTTCAGGTGAAAAAAAGAAGGTTGTAAAATTGCAGTATTTATTCTAAAAAAGATCCCATTTCAGACTTGACATTTTACAAAGTAGTGGGTACGCTAATGGCATATTCTTGATCCACAATTTACCCCACAAAAGTATATATTCTGAGATATTAATGATTTAATTACTATATAGTTCTCTTTAATCAAATATTAAATGTTTCTAAAATGTATTCTGCTTAATTAATTAAAGTATTTTCTTCCCATAGTGGCTATGCCCCACTTTTGCCTCCACTATACTAAATCTCTTCTCCTATAAATTTACTCCTCCAAGGCGTGTGTTCTCCACACTCCTCTCTATCTTCTTCCTTTCACATTCTCACCTTTTTTTTCTCATTTCCAGCCATATTTTCATCAATGGCAGCCAACTTGAACAACCCCAAGTTCACTGTCCCAGTAAATGATGTCGAGCAACAAACAACTCTCCAGCTCGAACACAAAGATGATGACTTCGACTACTCGAAACGATCGCAATGGCTTAGAGCCGCCGTTTTAGGCGCCACCGACGGCCTCGTCTCCACCGCATCGTTAATGATGGGTGTTGGGGCCGTGAAACATGACATTAAGGCCATGATACTGACCGGCTTCGCCGGTTTAGTCGCCGGCGCCTGCAGCATGGCGATAGGCGAATTTGTCTCCGTTTACTCACAATTAGACATAGAGTTGGCTCAGATAAAGAGAGACAACGAGAGAGAAAATCACCAGAATGGAGTACTCCATACACAACAAGAAGTTGATCATGAAGACAAAGAGAGTTTGCCAAACCCTTTACAGGCGGCTGCAGCCTCAGCTCTCGCGTTTTCTTTAGGCGCAATGGTGCCGTTGTTGGCTGCAGCATTTATAAGAGATTACAACGTGAGGCTCGGCTTGGTGGTTGCGGCAGTGAGCGTGGCACTGGCGTTGTTCGGGTGGCTAGGGGCGGTTCTAGGAAAGGCGTCGGTGGTTCGGTCTTCGGCTAGGGTTTTGATTGGAGGGTGGCTAGCCATGGCTATAACCTTTGGGTTAACCAAGTTGATTGGCTCACATGGGCTGTGAATCAATCTCCTCTCAGTTTAATCTTTATGTTTGTTTTTTTCTTTTTCGTTTTTTCCTCACACTGTATGTTGTCGTAAGACTAGTTTCTTTTTCTCTTTTTTCCTCTGATCTGTTAGTTGCAAAATTGGAGGGATTTATTTGTGAGTATATATATATATATATATATATATATAATCTAAATGTAATATTACTGTAAGGAACTTATCGTGTATTAAATATAAACGATAAGCTAGCTAGATGTATGATATTATATGAAAGTATACATCTTTCTCTTTAAAAGAAGCATGATATATACGTAGGTCTCAATTATAAGAGATTTAATAATTAGTTTACGCCACAACATCGTCGGAAAAGAGAAGGGCAACACCGACGAACATATGTTGAGGAGTAATATAGGACAATCACCCCCAACTACATCTGCATCGTAAAATATGTCTCGGAGATTATATAATCGGTCTTTATTCCCACGAGATTATACCTAAAATTCTATTAATCTCTTAATCTTAAAGACTACTTTCAAATGACAACAAATTAATGTGACCCAGGTGCTTTTGAAAGGAAAACGATTCAACCATATCTTCAACTTTCTAAATTTCTAAAAAAGTCCCACTACCTATTATATCTTGAATCATATATTAAAATTATCAAAGAAAGCAAAAGATATAGAGAGAAAGGAAAAGAAGGATTTGGTACTTTGCCAACCTGAGTGGCATCCATGACAAGGACTTTCATAAATCATACCCATTTATATATAATAAAGTAGTAAAATATTACACCTGATTTTTGACATTAATATTGCAGAAATTTATGATAGTGGAAACCTGGGACATATGAATTATATATATGCATATTGAACAGGAAAAAAGCAAAGCATTTGCATAGCCAATTGGATGAAATGGAAATACACTGTTGTTTATGTTATTGTTTCAAGATACCAAACAATAATTGTTTTGAGTGCATTTTGCTTCCAAGGAAATTAAACTTTTGATTTCAATTTACGACTCCAGTTTCACCTACCAAATTAATATTGCCATATTTAAGTTGTACGTGCGTTCTTCACATTTTATGAAATATTTTCTGCAAGAGAATATATTTAAGAATCGTAACCATAATCTGTTTTGATATGCAATCTGAAAACAGTTCTTTGCCAAAATATAATTACTTAATTGGACGTGAAAAATCAATAGACACTGACTTTTTTTTTGTTTTTTTTCCCTTTCAAGGAGAAGCTGACAATTATACATATGCTTTGAAAATTTATTCCGCTGCTTCAATTGATTATTTTTTTCAAAAGTTGCTTTCGATGGAAAAGACTTTTGATGATTTGCGTTTATGGCCCTCCCCTTTGCCACTCCAATCCATTTGTTGACCATATATGGACAATTCTGTGCAATGCTGATGCATCATCAATAATTTCAATTTGAAGATGGCCCTCAACAACTATTCACAACTTTAGTTTTCATGTTCTTTCTGTTTAAAGTCATAATCATCTTTCAAATCTCTTCTCTTAGTGCAATTAATTTGTTGGATAAAATCACTTACATGTTTTAATAAATTTTTCGAGTATACGACTGTTAGGAACCCAGGACCTCTCTAGAGTTTAACAGAGAATAGTAAACCAAACGCAAGATAGCAATGAATAAACTTCTATAATTTCTGTATTGATCTGTACTAATCATCGAAATAACAATCACTTCATGAACAAGAAAAGAAACTATTACAAAAGGATAACACTAGCCATTCGAGGCGCTACTAGGAACCTCCCACTGTATTTCCCACTAAAACCTTCTCTCTACCATTACATAGACTTTGCCCCAAAGTTATACTCAGCTGTCCCTACACTATTCTTCCTCTGGTGCTGCCACATGGCTAATTTGCTAACAAACTTGTTAGGATCCTAGGGGTTTACTAATTAACACTTTCAGCCCAAATGACACAATCAATAGACTAATTGATTAATCAAAAGGAAAGAAATAAGCAAGCAAAGAAGAACACAGAACATGGTAGATTATAGTGGTTCGGCTTTGCAACCTACATCCACTCTCCAAGGCTCACAATAGGTAATTTCATTACTCAATCACCAAGAATATACAGTGGGTGAATAAAGAACAAAGAAGAATACAAAGGAAGGAACACACCCAAGTTGAAAACCCTAAGTTTTGCAACTGAGATTTGCTTCCTCTTCTCTAGCAGCCACACTTTGTCACCATGATACGCTTTCCTTAATTAGTTTTCACCAGTTGTACATATATACACTTCCTTATTTAGTCAGAATATGTATAGTTTTGGTATAAACAGATTTAATGGAAGTAATTTAGGCAGATTTTCTGCTGTAATTCAGGCTTGATTTTAGCCTTGTATATTGCACATTTGTGCCTATATAATGAGAAGAAATCCTCACTAAGAGGACATTGAATCCAAATGACACACTTAAATACACAATCATCCTTCTCTAAAATAGCCTCCACTTGTCTTTGATTTCATCATAGCCGTGAGATGGCCAGCAATCTAGAAGATTCTTCAACCATGCGTTGTGTGAGGAAAAGAGAGAGAGATGAGAAGCTTTTTCAAGACTCAAGGATCAAAGGACACAATATACATCTTGGTCCAGGATTGAAACGGTGCCGCATTCTCCTTTGACTCTTTAACAAAGTGCTGACTTCCACTGTGGCAAATCATAAGCCACATCAGCACAATTCTCCCCTTTGGCTTTTGATTTGTCACCGTACGTGGCCTCGGAAATTTACTGTGCACTCCTGAACTTGCAGAAGGCTCATACAGGGCCTTTGTTTGTCAACTGGTACTGGCTTAGTGAACATGTTTGCAGGGTTGTGAGAACCCTTAACCTTTTTAATCTTGATTTCTCTTTTTTCGATCATTTCCCTGATGAAATGAAGACGAACATCGACGTGCTTAGTTCTCTCGTGAAAAACTTGATTTTTACATAAATGGATTGCACTCTGGCTATCACTATTGATTACCATTGTTTGTTGTTCAAGACCCAGCTCATTTATAAGACCCTTTAACCATGAAGCTTCTTTTACAGCCTCTGTCAACGCCACATATTCTGATTCTGTTGAGGACAGAGTTACCATATGCTGTAACTTGGATTTCCAGCTAACAACATTTCCCCACAGTGTAAAAACAAAGCCAAAAGTTGATTTCCTCTTATCCACATCACCTATATAATTTGCATTTGCATATCCATCAACACAACAATCACTATTTTGATTCTTTTTTAACACAATACCTACTGATCTGGTTTCCTTCAAGTATCTCAAAATCCCTTTTAATGCTGACCAATGAGGCTTTCCTGGGTTGCTCATGAATCTGCTTACAAGGCTTACTGAAAATGCCAAGTCTGGTCTAGAGCAAACCATCAAATACATCAGACTTCCAAGTGCACTCGCATAAGGGACAGTTTCCATTTCCAGTTTCTCTTCTTCATTTTGTGGACTCTGTTCATGGGCGAGTTTAAGATGAGAACCAAGTGGAGTTTGGATAATCTTTGCATCTCTCATATTAAACTTTTGCAGAATCTTGTCAACATAGTCTTGCTGAATCAGTTTCAGACTTTCATGAATTTTGTCTTTGATGATAGATATACCAAGTATCTTTTAAGCCTGACCTAGCTCTTTCATCTCAAACTTGGTATTCAGCGGATTTTTCAACCGAAATAGCTCAGATTTATCATGACAAGCCACCAACATATCATCCACATACAATAATAAGAAAACATGTGTCAGATAAGAGATTCTCTTAAAATAGAAACAAATATCAAAATTGCATCTATCAAAACCAATTTCAATCATAAAAGAATCAAACTTTTTATACCACTGTCATGGTGACTGTTTTAAACTGTATAATGATTTCTTTAATAAACAAACTTTACCTACAGTATTGTTGAAACCTTCAGGTTGTTCTATTAAGATGTTCTCCTCTAAATCCCCAGGCAAGAAGATTGTCTTCACATCCAATTACTCTAATTCCAGATTGAATTGAACCACAAGTGATAATAGAACTCTGATGGATGTGTGTTTGACCACTGGTGAGAAAATCTCATCGTAATCAATTCCCTATACTTGTGTAAATCCCTTCGCAACTAGCCTAGCTTTGTACCTAGGTGCTTCCTTAGAGGTTAATCTTGGTTTTCTTTTGAAAATCCACTTGCATCTAACCACTCTGTTGGGATTCATGCATTTTGGACATGGAAATGGTGTAACATGGATGAACAAGATGATGGATGCAAGGTAGAACACAAACATAACACATAAGCTCAAAAAATTTCAAGGTAAGGATGGAATTTTACCTACTCCTTTGCTATTCAACACTTGAATCTTCTTTCTTGGAATCCTAGTTCTTCAAGTGAACTTGAAGAACCTCAAAATGTGATCCACACAAGTCAAGGAAGAGAGAGCCGAGAGAGTGAGAGAGAAAATGAGAGAGTGATTTTGTTTTAATTGATTCAATTCAATTAAAATGGTATAAAACTTAATTTATATAACATGGGCACAAAGTGTAATTTTAAATTGTTTTGGGAAGGCCTCAAACAATTTAAAATTAACTTGAGAATAAACATTTATGTCAAGTCTTTGGTTTTATGATTAATTCATAATTAGACCAAATTTTAATTCCATTAAATATTCTAACCCTTTAGAATAAAACCAATGCACTTTTGCCCCCATCATTAAATCCAATTCAATAATAATATTTAATAAATTCTTATTACCCTTGGTTAGTGCTAAGTATTCATGGATAATCATTTCTCACCAATACATTAATTCGGATGCAACCGTTTACGTCCAAACATCATTAATCTAATTAATGATATGTATTACTCTCTCTCCTTGAGCTTGGTTTTATGTGTTACCATTTTGGTTCACTGTGATCTAGCCATGGGCCCAATATCTGATTTTGATATGTTTTGTTATAATTCTTTATAATCAAAACTCCCACTGATTATGAAGACATCTAGCAATGTTCCATAACCCCTAAACCACAATGAAGTGCAAACTCCAATGAACCTATTCTGATCATAGATACCGTGTAGTCAAATCTCTCCGTTATCTAATCCCGATTAAGAATGGTTAATGGTATGTCAAAACCTTTAACTTAATCTTTAATCGAATTGTCAATTGATACAATGGAACTTGTCAACATGAAACTACTTTTCATCTGACATTCATTATACTCTGGCCAGATATTTTCCTTTTCCAATGTTTATTGACTTTCGTGTGGGAATTCGAGATTGGACTATTTTGAGTTAACGGATCCCATCTTGACCATCATTTGTCCTCTTATATGAATAACATATAACCAAACCAACTTATTACACAAGACATGACTAGTCTCGTGCTTATACACCATATGAACCATATGCATCCTATGTTGAATCCAATCGTGATGTCTCAGGTCTAAGAATCAGTGGTACACTAGCACGATCTTACGATGCATCATTGACCATATGTAATACCCAAGATATCAAAGGTATGTTCCTAACTCAAAATAGTCCTTTAGATGTTAATTTTATGTTAAAAAGCATAAAATCTAACTAAGGGCAAAATAGTCAATTCATTTGGAACGGTATGAATCAATTATCCACAAAGAGGCTTAGGGGCAAAATGGTTATTTTGCCTATGGATAAGCATTGAAAAAGTCAAGGATGAGTAGGCTTCATTGCATTTAATGGCATTAATTAAGTAATAATTATGTCTAGTGTGAAATGACCAAAATGCCCTTATATGAAGAATTAAGGACTTATGAGTTATACAATTAAAATAATTGGGCCAATTGCATAATTTTGGAAAATAAATGAAATATTTTCCTATAAATGAGATGAAATTCGTTCAAGCCAAAGGAGAGAGCCTTTCTTCAACATTTCTTCCATTTTCTCTCAAATCTTCCATGAAACAAGCTTTCTTTCTCTAGGTTTTCAAGGAGTTTTGCATAATTTTTCAAGGAGAACAAGATAGGAGCCTTGGATCTTCAATTTGAAGGGTTTAAGGTAAGGATTAAAAACTTTAGTTTTGATGTGATTTGAAGATTTGAGGTAGATGTTGAGGTATAATGTTATATATGTAGGATTAAGGTGTAAAAGAAGTCAAAGGCAAAGGATTTGTTGGAGGAAGTCTTTAAAAAGGTAAGGAAGAACCTCCCATGACTTTAGGGTTTATGCTAGGGTTTGTAGATTTTTATGAAACCTTAAATTAAGGCTTTAAGGCATAGAATTAGTTGATGGCAAGTGTAGTTGAACTCATTTATTCTACTTATTGCCTTGAATTCATTATACATGAAGTTATTGCTCTTTATGTTTTATGAGTTGTTATGTTTGATTGAAGAAAATGAAGTGTGGATACTGATTGTGGCAAAAATTGTAGTATTGGAGGCCACATGGTGTTGAATGGTTGCTATTAGAAGTGTTGATGTGTTGTTTGCATTAGCTTACAATGTTATAGCAATAATGGATGATTATGGGAATGAGATTTTACACTTCCTTTAAGATGTTAAAGACTATTAAGGGGAGGTTTATTTGATCCACAAGTTAACCTATTGGTTAATGTCAATAGGAATTGATGTGGCATAGTTAATATGAAAATTCGGATTTAATGGGCTTAGGGGTTTTGTTAACCCTGCTTCTGTATTTCGACCATAACTTGAGTTATAAAAATCGAAATGAGATGATTCTTGAAGCATTAGAAAGCTAAGACACAGACCTATAACTTTTATGTTTATTCCAAGAGCCAATTCGTTTGAGAAAAGGATGGAAAATGGCCTGAAGCATAAACTGGTTATTAAAGTTTAAGATTTAACATAATCAATTCTTATGATTATGAATTGATTATTAATGTATTATTGTAATTATGCCATGTACTAATGTTTACCCATTAGTTAGATGATCTTTGAAAGATATACATGGTCATGATGTCAATGCATGATTAATGTTATGAAATGGCATGAAGATGCAATGTAATACATGTTTTAAGATGATGTATGTGAGCAAGAGGTAATGTAAATGGGTTGATAATCCATAGATGAATTAAAAGTATTAAGCTCACCAAAATATGTATTTACATGCCATAAGATGTTAGAGATGCAAATAGACATGACAGAGATGCATATAGACACGATGGAAAACGCGTAAGCATATCCTCGTATACCGGTTGAGGAAAGATGAATATATGCTTTAGATGCTAAATAACGCGTAAGCACGCCTCCCGATGATATGAGCTCTAGATGAAATTTGAGGCTAGATGATATGAAGTGCTTAAGATGCTAAGAAAGGTCCGATCGGCTAGACGTTAAATGTTTCATATGCATTTAGTTGCATTACATGAGTTATGATGTTATTTACATCATGAGATGATTTATACTCATGTTAGATGATTTTAGATGTTATGTCATGACATGTGATGTGTGTGTACTATGTTTACATACTTATTTGTATGTGTACACATTGATGTTTATCTAGCCATGGGATAAAATGATGAAAAGCATATGACTTAGTAATAAAAGGGGAAGTATCCCTAGATGTAAAAGATAAGTGATGTGTTAACAGATATGTTTAAATAAAGATCAAATAGTACATTCAGAATGAAATAGATCATTCCTTACTGAGCGATTAGCGCTCACCCTTTCATTGTTGATTGCTTTGCAGGTAGACTAGAAGCGAGGGATGCTAGAGACAGCGGGACTACACGTGAGGGGAGATGATTTATTGTCATCTCGATGTTTTTATCTTGATGTAAATAATGTAAATGATAAATATTTGAGAAATACCTTTGGAAGCTTCCACCCTATAAATATGTTTTGATTGTGTAATTTCTTAAAGTTTGTAAATTATAAGTTTGGATCCTGCGTGACATTTTATATGCATGTTTTGGATATTATTATTATTATCCTTATATAGATTTTTTCTAAATACAACTCGTTCTCCAGACATGTATCCTCGGGATTCTCATTGAGGGATATTCAGAGGATACCTGACTGGAGGGGGGTTTTACACCATATCCATGTGATTCATCGTAATTGGTCATATTCGATAAACAGTTCACTAACCGTTTATCCATGATAATGCCTTAGTGACATACCTCTTATAATCACCCACACTAATACCATCACATGATTTTCAATGGAGACATTCAACATGCCTACTATGCAATGTTATTGCCCAATTAACATTACTTGCGTAGGGAATTCTTTGATGATTCGATCTTCTGAAGATCTGTGTCATCTAGACATTTCACATGCAATATTAAATATAATATAATATAAATGAAGCAGAAAATCAACATGTGAAATAAGAACATTTTCTTTTATTCATAATACATTTACAATATATAATGTCCTGAAACCGACAATACGATTGGTTCCTAGGGCATACACTAACACACTCTACAACCTGCTGGTTTATCAATTAAAATCTAGGTGTTATTCTTCATCAATGAATTGAATTCCCTCAATTGCCCTGTTCCATTCTGATTTTTTAGCTCCTGATACAACTTCCTGAAATGTCTTGGGCTCA